GTGTGATCCCGTGCTGAGATGCAGCCTCAGTGGCAGGTCAGGACAAATGCAGAGTTTGTAAGTGAAAAGAAAACATTTGGGTCCCCCTAGAAACAACTGTAACCCCCTTGTATCACCGTGGGTTACTGGGGAGCAGGCCGCACTCACCTGTGTGCCGGGGAGCCGTATGTTTTTAACATTGAAAAAGGTCCTGAGTTCCACCGGGGAGGTGTTGGATAGTTGGGGATCCCTGATCCACCCCCTTGCTGAAGTCCCTTGCTGCTAAAGGAATATACAATGGTGGTGCCTCCACCTAGCTGGCCCTATGCATACTGAATGCTGTGCCTTGGGAAACTCCAGGGAGCACCTGAATTGATGACATTAGAATTAACACTCTTTTACTCACCCACTTAAAGCAACAGGGCCTAACAGACTAAAAGTGAATACAATCACTTCACAAAGGACACAGACATAAAGGACACTCATCTAACTGGCTTTTACCCTGCTCCCATTCATTCCATCTCCCAGACTGCACTCCTCTGGCTCTCACAGTCCCAAACACTTGCTGGCGTGGGAACTTGCAGATCTACAGCTGGAGTGGAGCAGCTGCCGGTTCTGCAGGCCCTTCTGACTAAAGGGTGACTCTCAGGTCACTAGCGGCGGTGTTGTCAGGAACGCCAATCTTGACATTTGAATTGTATAGAGATACTTACCTGCTTCTTCCTTTGTGCAAATTTAAACCAGGAGATGGAGAAAGCAATATGAAGCAATCATACAGAATGATGCCTAGAAGAAATACTGGGCATAGGACGTGACTAGAGAGATGAATGTACATTTTATGGTGATCAGGGTATTTTTCTTTGTTTTTGTTGTTTTTATTAAGCTTCTCTGGGTAAAATCCATGTGCTCCACCGCCCCACCACTTTCACTAGCTAAGCTGTATCCAGAGATATTCTGTTCTCTGTGTTTTAGGTAATGCCTAGTGACCTAGTGTGCTTTATTAAAGATTTCTTTTGGTGTTTTAGCAATACAATATTTTTTAAGGCATTGATTTGATTCTTACATCCTGGGAGGCATCCTGTGTATGTGCCTGCCTAGCCTGAGAGGTCAGCTATTAAAGACACAGTGTGTTTTCTGTGCTTCCTTTTGTTTCTTTTTTTGAACTCTCCTGTGGCTGAAGAGCTTGGGGTACGCCTGGGGAAGTGTTCCTTCCTGGGGTTTCAGGGATCTTTTAAAAAAATCACTTGATGGTGGCAGCCTATTTTCCAGAGCCAGTGCATCCGTGTCTCTGGGGAGTTTTTCTGTAAGCAGAGCCTATAGAGCAGGGCTGGGGAACCTCAGGCCTTGGAGATGGATGCAATCCTCAGCTTTCTTGGATCCATCTACCAAGGCTCAGTGCTCCCTCTCGCAGCTTTGGGAAGCCCACGCTGGAAATCCAGACCCCTCTCCTGCCATCCCCCTGCAAGGCTGGAGCACACAAATTCTACCACCCTGGCCCCACTCTCGGCTCTGGTGTGTGTTGGGAATGTGGGGAGGGTCTTTCTCCTTCTCACTCAGAAGCGACTTAAGCATTTGTTTTGGTTTGTTTTTGCTTCTCACTTGTGTGCGGCTGATTTTACTCTGGGTCAGTGGCCTCCAACCCAAACAATGTTCCCCACCCCTGCTATAGAGGCAGGGGATTAAAGGTCTTGTGCGGGCCCCCATCTTCTGCACTGGGAGTGCCAGAGAGGGAACAGGCCAGACAATTGTTATGAAATCTTATAAAAAGGCCAACACAATGCACAGCACCATGTTGATACAAAAGCGAGGATCTGTGCACGGGATCTCTCTGGAGCAGGGCAATGTTTGCAAATGGGAATGTTCTTTCTTCACTGCCATCCTCGGTATAGGCCACATACACCCAGAGAAGCCGACACACCCCATTTGAAAAGGTAAGGAGTAGATTATGGCTCCTTCTGGTCTGGAAACTTCTAGATCTATGAATCCCTGTCTTGCAAGGATTGTTACCTCAGATTCAACTTGTCCAATTTACTCCTCAACAAGGACAGATGCTGACCAAGAAGAAACAGGACAGTCACAGTACATCTGGGCTGTATGGTCTAAACCATGGGGTTCCCAAACTGGGAGGCGTGCCCCCCTGTGGGTGTGTGAAGAAATTCCAGGGGAGGCGCAAGGCGACCCAGCCTCCCCACCATCAAATTTTGCTGTCCCACTCAGTTCCTTTTTTTTTTTTGCTCACCAAGTTTTCCTGCTATTTTGGGGGGGGAGGGTCATGAGGGTTTTTCAAAAATCAAAAAGGGGGGCACGATGCCAAAAAGTTTGGGAACCACTGGTCTAAACCAAGTCCCATTTTGAGAAGTCTAAAAATTGTCCCACTCTTCCAATTCGCAACAACACCCATCGTGCTAAGGTGTGATTGCCAAGCACATCCCATCGGACACCCCAGGCTCATCTCTTTGGGGTATTTTTGTCCAGTGCTAAACCATCACTGCCAGCGTCATTAATGTAGGAAGTTTATAGTCCAATACCACATGCTCACTGCCTTGTTTGCAGGGATGAGTCATGTACCAGACTTGCCACTCCCTGACTCCTCTTAAGTGCCCTATCCCTTCCAATAAACCCCTGCCCCCCTTCCCTTTCCCTGATGCTCTGCCTCCAACCCAGCCCAGTCAGCTCTTGTTGAGATCAATATAGCAGTTCAGGTCGCTTTTGCAAGCCATTGACTCAACACCCTCCCTGGGATACACATCCTGGGAGCAAAATATGGAAGACCTGGAGCTCCTCAGAGTACAATGACCCAGCTCTGGATGCCTCTCTGAACAGGCAACAAAATTTCATTGAAAGGGGAATTGGCGGGGGGCAGCCTTGAGTGAAAACATGAGGAAAGGGAGACGCCTCAGGGGAAAAGGATCCAGGATTGATTATTGGGCCATGTCTTCACAAGAGTCTTTTGTCTCCTGTGTCACTAGCCCTGGAGCCGGGTCATAAACTGAACCTTCACTTGATGAACACCCTGATGACCCTCACACGAAGGTGTTTGCTTTTCACGCTGTACACAATTGGGTTCATTAGGGGTGGAATCATCAGGTAGACATAGCCCACAAAGCTCTGAAGCAAGTGAGAAGAGCTGTTCCCGAATCTGTGTAGCACAGACAGCCCCAACATTGGGGTGTAGTAGAGCATGACAGCGCAGAGGTGGGAAACGCAGGTGTTCAAGGCCCGGAGGCACTCCATTCGGGATGCGATGCCCAGCACTGTTTTGAGGATCATCACATAGGAGAGGAAGATGAGCAGTGCATCCAACCCCACGGTGGAGATTGCAACAAACATGCCATAGATGCTGCTGGCTCTTATGTCTGAACAAGCCAACTTCATGACATCCTGGTTTAGACAGTAGCAATGGGACAGGACATTTCGGCAGTATTGATACTGTTTCAGAAGAAGGGGGAGTGGGAATGCTATAACCAAACCTCTTACCACAAACACCAGCCCCATCTTGGCTATTCTTGGAGGGCTCAAGAAGGAGGCATATCTCAGCGGGTTAAAGATTGCGATGAAGCGGTCAAAGGCCATCAACAGGAGCACGGAGGATTCAGTGATTGAAAGCAAGTGAATGAAAAACAGCTGAGCAAAACAGGCATCCATGTTGATCTCCCTAGAGTTAAACAGGAAAAGGCCCAGTATTGTCGGTATGGTGGATATCGATAAGCCAAGGTCTGTTACGGCCAACATGGAAAGGAAAATGTACATGGGCTCATGGAGGCTTGGGTCTGTTTTTATAAAGAATATAATGGCTGCATTTCCTACTATTGAAATAGCATACATGATGCTGAAGGAGATAGCGATCCAGACATGGGCTTGTTCATGGCCAGGTATCCCAGTGAGAAGGAACACTGCAAATTGCAATTGGGTGTCATTAACAGCAGACATCTTATACCGGGCAGGTCCAAGGAGTTCTGACCTTTCCTTCCTGAAAAGAAAAACATCAGGAGACCAGATGCTATTTAACATGACATCTTTCTGAGCTGAATGGACATTGAAAGACTCCCATAAGGTTGTGGAAAATCAGACAACTTATATTTGCATTTACACCCACAAGTGACACATATTTTCTGGTTTAAATAAGTCAGATTTAAATGGTCCCATGACATTGAAAAACAAATCTTCACTGCTGTAATTGGATTTTCAGGGTAGCCATAAAAGCATCCAGTCCCTCTGTGAATCCTACTGAACTCTCTGCTCCTTTTCTGTCTTGTGTCTCTGAATTCTGCAGCCTATTTAAGCTCCCTGTGGTTTTACAGTTGTGACCTTCCCACAATCACCCTTTCTGGGCCTCCAGTTCTGAGTATGTCCCCTGGTGAGGTGTGCAATCACATGGCACATGCATGGGGAAAAGTCAATGTACAGAGTTGTCCTCCATTGTAGCTATCAATAAATGAATTTCATAACCTCATTATATGCATGTTTTTTTAATTGTCTTTACTACTAAGAGTTCAAATTAAGCTTGTGCTTCTTTGCAGAAAAAGGGATAAATCCTTAGGGCTGAATTGTGAATTCAGTAATATTCAATGTCAACTATATTCATTGTTTCAATGCTGAAACAAAACCCAGCAGTTCTTATTTCTCAGGGCTTTTGGGGATATCTAGCACAGGCTGTTCATGAGCCGATTGAAAAATTACAGTAGAACGGCACAAAAGAGGGCTTTTTATGGTCTAGGTACACCTCCTTCTACGAGGAGTAACTCCTTTTTGCTTAAGAGCTTTTGTGCAAAAAGATGTGTGTGGATGGGCAAGAGGGGGGTTTATGCCAAATTGACAATTGAAAAAAGCCCAGGTGCTCTGGTGGCTACTCTGTGGATAGCGATCAGAGCTTTTTTGCAAGAGAGCATCCATAAAGTATGGGCGCTCTCTTGTGCAAAAGTATATCTCTTTGCCAATGAACTTTTGCAGTGTGGACACGCTCTTGCGCAAAAAGTTTTTGCACAAGATCACTTCTGCAAAAAGCTTCTTGCGCAAAAACCCTGCAGTGTAGATGTATCCAAAGAGATGATTTCTCAGGATAGAGTGGGATTAAACTGCAGTTTTTGTCATCTGGATTGCTTCAGAATCTAAAATCATAGACTCCTAGGAGTGGAAGAGACCTCAGGAGGCCATCGAGTCCAGCTCCCTGCCCAAAGCAGGACCAATCCCAACTAAATTGTCTCAGCCAGGGCTTTGTCAAGCTGGGATTTCAAAACCTCTAGGAATGGAGATTCCACTCCCTCCCTAGGGAAGCCATCCCAGTGCTTCCCCACCCTTCTAGGAAATGAGTTTGGACTTCCTGCACTGTAACTTGAGACCATTGCTCCTCATTGTGTCACCTGTCGCCACTGAGAACAGCCTCTCTCCATCCTCTTTGGAACCTCAGTTCTGAAGACAAAACAAGCCTAAATCCCTCCACCTCTCCTCGTTGGTCTTGTGATCCATTCCCTTAGCATTTTGGTTGCCCTCCACAGGACCCTCTCCAAAGAGTCCACTCCTTTCTGTGGTGGGGGGGCCCAGAACTGGATGCAATACTCCAGATGTGTCCTCAGCAGTGCTGAATAAAGGGGAATAATCCCTTTTCTAGATCTGCTGGCTATACACCTCTTAATTCACCCTAATATACTATTAGCCTTCTTGGTTACAAGGGCTCACTGTTGACTCATATCCAGTTTCTCCTCCACTGTAATCCCCAGGTTCTTTTCTGCAGAACTGCTACATAGCCTGTGGGTCCTCAGCCTGTAACAATGCTTGTCCCAAGTACAGGAATCTTCACTTGTCCTTGTTGAACCTCATCAGGTGACTTTTAGCCCAATCCTTCAATTTGTCTAGGTCACTCAGGGCTCTGTCCTTGCCCTCCAACAAAACTAACTCTCCTCTGTAGCTTGGGGTATGTCTAGATTACATGCCTCTGCCGACAGAGGCATGTAAAATAGGATACCCGACATAGTCAATGAAGGGGGATTTAAATATCCCCAGTTTTATTAAAATAAAAATGGCCGCCACTCTGTGCCGGCTCAGCTGATTGTCGGCACAGCACGTGAGTCAAGATGCAGATCAGTCGACAAGGGAAGCCTTTGTCGACTGCTTGTGTAAACCTCGTTTCATGATCAGCTGAGCTGGCACAGCGCGGCGTTCATTTTTATTTTAATTAAGCCGGGGATATTTAAATCCCCCTTCATTGACTATGTCGGGTATCCTATTTTACATGCCTCTGTTGGCAGAGGCATGTAATCTAGACGTACCCTTGGTGTCATCTGTGAACTTGCTAAGGGTGCAATTCATCCCCTTATCCAGGTCATTAATAAAGATGGCGAACAAAACCGGCCCTAGAACCAACTTTTGGGGTACACTTCTTGAAACCGACTGCCAACCAGACATCATGACATTTATTGAGACAAGTTAAATATGACAATCTAGCCAGATTTCTATCCACCTTACAGTCCATTTATCCAATCCATACTTTCTTAACTTGCTGGCAATTACACGGAGGGAGACCATATAAAAAGTTTGGTAAAGTCAAGGTAGATCTCATGCACGGACTTCCCCATGTCCACAGACCCAGTTACCTAATCACAATAGGTTGCACCATCTCCACCGTTATTAAGCTGCAAGTCTACAAACAAACATTCAGTAACTTTACTTTCATCAGATTAACAGCTGACTGGTTCTCCTCTGGTGCTCGTCTGTCAGTCCATAGTATTTGGGGTGGTGAGAGGCACTGCGGGAACTGTCTTAAATATTGATTCCTAGGGCTCTCACTCTGCAGTAGAAAATGACCCCGACACTGTTACTCAGGCATAATGAGGCCCTCAGCCTGTGAGGATCCTAGGCCCAATGGGAGCCTGGGGTCAGAGAAGTAGACAGACCATTGGTTAAAACCCTCTGATTCTCCAATGTTACATTTTACTCCTGCTGCTCAGACAGACCCGTGTTTTGGTTCAGGAAGGCTGGCTGGTCACTCGTCTCTCTAATCACCGCCTCCTACGGGAAGAACCACAGAGGCCAAACCTACTCACAGCTTCTGAGCAAGGACATTCAACCCACAGTGCGCTGTGAGACGGGGCCAGTCTGAGGGTGGGAGGAGTCTGACATCTGTCACTCAGAGACCAGAGAGGGGCAGCAACAGGAAGAAGCCTAGGTCCCTCCCCTAGTGAGGAAACAGAGCGGTTACCACAGAGCTTTGCAGCTCTGAGTTCCTGACTTCAAAATTGAGCCAGAGAGTAAAACCATTGAAAATGTATTTGCTGGTTACATTTTCTGGAGCAAATAAACCTGAGGTTAATTGGGAACTAGCCCCTCCTATTCGGTAGGGTCTCCCTTTGTTCAGTTCCCAGCAGGATCGGGCCCAGAGCACATGAAATGAAACCTCTAGAAATGAGAGACCTTGGGACTTCGGGGGCTTAACACGCTGAGCTGGCTATGAATATCTAATCTCTGTGTAGTTTGAACATCACACCATGAGCATAGGCAGAGGTTGGGGAGGGTTCCCAGGCTACCTAGCGCTGCCTGCCCTCCCGCCCCATCACTGAGTCACCCGACAGCCCAGCGGAGTCCTCTGCCGCTGCACAGAACATCTGCCAATGCAAACAGCCTGCAGCCTTTGCCCTGCACTTGGCATGTTACAGACAGTAACACCTGCCAGCGTACCCAGTTCCTGCTAGAAGGGAGTCACTGGCACCAGAGGTCTTCACCGTGAAGAACAAGAAGTCACTGGAGATGTTGCACGGGCAGCAGGCAGTGGGTGTTCAGATAGGAAATTCCCATAGGACCACTTGACCATCAGGGAACCTCAGCTGCTTGGCTTCGTGCACCAGCTTTAACCCCACCATGGCCAATTGCAAACGGCAGGAGCGCAAATCCCAGGGGATGGAGATGATGCTAAACAACTGACCTGCAGCACCAACCCTGCTGCAGGCTCCGTTCCTGGAATCCAGGCTTAGCAGCCCTGTTTGTGTGGGTCTGATTAGTCCCATGGTTTCTTCCAGGGTGGCTGAGTGGTAACAGTGATGCTGCCACAGCTGTGATCTTGCTGAAACAGTGATGATGATAACGATGATGATGTTGATCACAATGATAATATTAGTGATGATGATGTTGATCACAATGATAATAATAAAAAACCCGATGAGCCCTCAGCTGCTCCCTTTCCTGCATTACAAACCCGAGCTGCAAGCAGGAAAGGTTCCGCAAGGCTCCACACAGGAAAATGTCCCTCCGGTTGTTCCAGAGTCCCAGGGGATGAGAAGCGGGACCCAGGATCCAGGGATTCCCAAACTTATGCACAAAATTCCACTGGTGCATAAAATTCCACTAGACTCAGCCACCCACTATCTCTGGGCCTCCACAGCTGCTCTAGGACCCTCGCTAACTCCCGGCTAGCACAGGCTGGTCAGAGATGCGCTACCAAGCCCTTGGCACTGTGCAGAGAGGAGGGGGCTGCACAGAGAGGGGAAGGCTGGTGAGAGTCGCTGAGGGGCCCAGTACCCATCCACACCCTGGTGTGGCAAGTTTCAAACTTCCCATCCCCAGAGTGCAGCCACTGAGTCCATCTGTGCCACCTTTATGTAAAAGAAGAGGTAGATGCGAAGCGTCCAATTTGCCTTGGGGATCCAGGCGATGGCCGCTGGGCAGCCTCAGGGCAGCTGAGCCTGCAGGGAGAAATGACCCTTTTCCTATGGAAACTCAGCCCGAAAAAAGTGAAAGAAAAAGAAACATTTTAGTCTGGGTGAAAATTTTTCAGGGAGTGAAAAGAGAAGCCTTCTGCTTCCCAGCCCAGCTCCAGCTCTACCCACACACCTCTGTCCCTCATGCCACAGGGCCTAGACTGCAGCACTATCTTCTTGCGGGGAGGGATAGCTTAGTGGTTTGAGCATTGGTCTGCTAAACCAAACCCACAGTCGTGAGGT